GGGGGGAGTGAAGAGGAAAACAATAAAGTCTACCATTACAATGACACGGGAGAAGCATTATCTCCCATGTACACAAGCAGCTATTTTGCTATTTTTGGTACTTATTGATAAAATGTTTTTTTCAGCTTGTGTCAAATCAATGTGAACTTGTAAAACTGAACGTCATGCCACTATTAGGGCCCCTAGTGACCTCCGCACTGCGTCACATTACTGACCTCCGCACTCCTTGTCACATTGCTGACCTCCGCACTGCGTCACATTACTGACCACCACACTCTGCGTCACATTACTGACCTCCACACTATGCGTCACATTACTGACCTCCGCACTGCGTCACATTACTGACCTCAGCACTCTGCGTTTATTATTATCGATCCCTCCGCCCCTCTGCTGGGCCCAGCCGGCCGCACCGAACAATCGGGACCCAAAGCAGAGGCTGCACTGTAGTCAGGCAAATTAGGCGGCCGTCTCGGCCCACGCTGGGGTTTTGCAGCTGCCTAATTTGTGTGAGTACAGACCAAGGCTGGCAGCGGCGGAAATATCCCAGAAGGCGAGGCTAAGTGAGTGCGTTGTACCCCGGGGGAGAGGGGGAGAGCCGGGGGGCAGGGACACATAGGCAGTGAGAGAGAAAAGGGGTGGCACAGTAGCAGTGGAAGAGCCAGGTGGGGAGGGCTTATTTTCTGGCAGTGCCCCTCCCGAGTCTAGACTCTGGATCCGCCCCTGTCCCAATGTTATACTAACCATTTAGATAGCTATTTTGTAGAAGGGGATTAGTTAAGCAATTCATTTGCTTTGTGGCACTACAAATGCCAAAGCTGCAATCCATGTTTTTTTTTAGCACAATGCAGTGTGAGATATATCTATCTTTCTATCTATCTATACACACACATACATTTATTTTTAATTATAATTTTGGGAATATTTACTTTTAATGTTAAGGAGAGCTTCAGGTCATATACTGTAGGTACACTATGATGTAGTCACAAAATTCTTCAATGCCATCTCTTCAACAATTAAATGAACAGGATTAAGATTATATGCTCTGTACATTTTCTAAATACTTTACAGTGGTGAGGAAGCCATACTGTAAGGTATTTTTTTACTCCCATTGTTCTGGTTAATTTGGTGTTTTTTATGCAGGGAGTGGGGAGCTTTGAAATAGCAGGACCTCACCTTGCAAGCATGCCGTGTCCACTTTAAAATGTTTTCAGATGGGTTATAAAGTGAGGATATCCATGTGCTAGCACTGAATTTGGTATAGGATCTTGAAGTATACAGGGGCCTGCTAATATAACTGATTGTGAAAATACCAAACAATTAACTAATGCATCAAAAAAAACTGTAATTCTAGTGGGTTTTTTTGCATGAGATCTACTAAATAGCTACTGTATCATATAAAAAAAGGAGGCAAGTTGCAGTAAGAACCTAGGCTTGAGCAGTCGTTTCTGCTGTGACCTGCGAGAACAATGACAGGTTGCAGAGATTCACAAAGCTGTTAGGGATAAATAGCAGAATTAAATAGCATATTACCTTTCCCATTTTTATATCTTCATTACTCAATTTACCAAAATGAGCAGCCTTCCCTAGCAGACTAGGCATTTTCATATAAGCAAGAAGATCTTTGGCATCATATGAACATTCTATTTCCAGCTTTGGTATAGATAAATGGATGGATCTGCAATATGAAGAGAAGGTGGTTTATAGGTGCAATTACTTGTACCTTAAAGTGTATTTGCACTTTTGCAGTGAAACTTAGGAAAACCCTTCCATATGTTCGTTGTGTTCCTATTCACACAGCATACTGGAAAAATAACTTTTAAAAGAAGTTTCTTAACGTTTAGATGTTTTGTTAAATCAGGCAAGATGGCCGATCAAATACGTGTATATATTAATGTACTGCGCTAAATATTCTCCTAAAGTAAATCCACTAATTACACTAAACAGTGTCAGCTGTGGTGCTATAAATAAATTGATAAATCATGTGCACTGTGCTCCTGCTCAGAAATGTGCATAAACTTCCAAACACTGTATACATTATCATAAACCTAAATAGTCAAACATATTAATAATATTCAGTATGACAATATTCAAATATAGTCCTTAGTAAGTCTGTGTAAAGTGCTTTTGTGCATTATCCACAGTGTGAAAAAGATCCTCTGAAATAAAGTGCTCCCGACTCCTGATGTGTTAAATAACTGAGAACACACTCACCAGAGATCCATGACCATATATCTCAATGGTCAATACACGTAATTGTGGTGAGTGTCTTTCGTGGATGGGATAATCACTCTTCTGATTAAACAAATCCTCCCTTTCCTATTACATGGCAGGTGCCGCTCACTCAGCGAGGGAAGAAATTCAATATAGAGGAGGAATAAATGCGCCAAATAGTGAAGTACATAAAAAAGTTTGAATTTATTGCAACAAACAAAACACACTTACAAGATAACCAGAATGAAAGCGCCTTGTAGCAAACAATCAATTCCACTTAAGCAAACCGGAACCAGAAATCTGCTAGTCACCTGTGGTGTAACTTCAGTACGTGTCCTATCCTTTTCGGACACGTTTCGTCCCTTGACTTTTTTCAGGGAAGGTTTACATCAAACTTAAAATCAAACTTTTTTATGTACTTCACCATTTGGCACATTTATTCCTCCTCTATATTGGATTTCTCCCCGTGCTGAGTGAGTGGCACCTGCCATGTAATAGGAAAAGGAGGATTTGTTTAATCAGAAGAGTAATTATCCCATCCATGAAAGACACTCGCCACAATTATGTTTAATGACCATTGAGATATATGGTCATGGCTCTCTGGTGAGTGTGTTCTCATTATTTAACACATCGGGAGTTGGGAGCACTTTTTTTAAGAGGATCTTTTTCACACTGGATTATGCACAAAAGCACTTTACACAGATTTACTAAGGTCTATAATTGAATATTGTCATATTGAATATTATTAATATGTTTGAATATTTATGTTTATGATCATTTATAGAGTATTTAGAAGTTTATGCACGTTTATGAGCAGTACACATGATTTATCAAGATGGCTCATTCCAGGTGTTTCATAGCCCTTTCACAATGGTCTGTCCTTATAGTCTTGGGACTGAAATTTGAGGATTGTGTTTATCTGATAAGCATCATTAACATACAATGGGCAAGTCACCTTAGACCCCCTCACAGACCCTCCTAACATTTCAAAGAAAAAGAAGCTAAAAGAAATTGTAACCCTTAAAACCCTAACCCATTGTAAAAACAATTTAACCCCTTCATGACTGAGCTTGTTTTTAGTTTCTGTTCGTAAATGACTGACACACTTTTGACATTTTTAAAGCTTTTTTTTTTAGATCATGCTATGTGAATGGGAATATGTAACAAATATAAAATAGGTGTTACCCCAATTTAGCTGCGAAAGTGGAAATACACTTTAAGACTACTGTAGTGTTGAGCCTTACCTGTTTGATAAACTAGTTATCCAGTTTAAAGACTGCCAATCCCTGTCTGTGAGGGAAGATTCAATTTTCTTAAGGGTATTTCCTTTTGTTGGCATTAGAAGCAAAAGCAAATTATTTTCACCAAGATCAATCTTTAGTATCAATTGATTTTTTTCACTGTCATCTTTGAACTGAAATATTCCTGATGCTGAAATCATGGGAACTGCGATTTGCCTGTTTGGCTCAATCCAGAATTGCTGAAGCTCCGGAACTAAGGAAGACTTGGTCACTGTACCTTAAATAAAATATGATAAAAACAAAAATAGTAAGTATTGGTATTTTATTTACGCATAAGTTAATGGTCCTTATATACATCCTTATATGTATTGTCCCAGTGACAGTATAGTTGGGGATATGAAGATAAATATTTCTAACATGAACACTACAGAAATAAAAAACACATTTCTGAGCAGGAAGGGGGAGAGCTAGAGAAGGGAGAATTCATGAAAGCTGAAGTTTAGAAATGTTTGTGGAGGATACAGCACCAAACGGATAAGATGTGTATTGTTTGTATCCCCTTACCTGCAGCAGCTGCTTCTTGCAAAAATCTTCACCTCATGGCCCCCCTCACAGCCACCAGATATTATAGTTAGCCGTGCTCTGTGAGGCTGCAGGGAGAGGAGTTTGTTAGTAGCTGCTGTGTAAAGTTGTGCTACTGGCCCGCCCCCCAAGCTTTCTCCACTGTTAACCCCTTACACTGTACATCCCCGTCACTAAGTGCCCAAATGACTGTGCATGTACATTCAGGACTCCAGAATGACGTTCATTAATTGATGCCTCACTAACAAAGCATCCATTAATTTATTAAAGAATTAGGCAGTTTCAGACACCCAATCACTGTGGTCAATCGGGTGTTTGACAGTGATAGGAGTGCGGTGTGAACGAAGTCATCCTGATGCTGCAGTGCATGTCAGGGTCAGTCTCACTAAGGTTTTTATTGGCTGTCCCTGGGCCGAAAATTAATTTAGTGACATCCATTCACAATGACTGCTTGATATAATTGATAAGCCAGTGTTTGTTAACAATATTCACCCTAAAGGGTTAATTTTTTTCATTTAACCCCCTCATGATGGCAATGTTCAAAGTGTGACACAAGGTGATAGTGACATTGTATGCCACCTGTCTAACCTGGTGATCACTATTAGTTTTTAGAGAAAAAAATTAAATGTTAGCTTTCAGTTTTAGGCTGAAAAGTACTGTACAGAAAAAATTCTGAATTTCTAGGGATGTGAGGTGTTTACAAAAAAAGGACAAATAAATGTATTTTAATGCATTTTTTATCTGTGCTGTTTTTCTAAAAAATAATAACCAAAGCCGGGGGAAAAAAGTGTTTTTTTTACCTTATGCTTTTTTTATATTTTATTAGTATTAAGTGAGGCGTTAGCCACCCGTATGTGATATAAATATATAGCCCTATATGTCCTCTAAAAAACAACATATAATAAGTGTGGGTGCACTTAAGTGAGAAAGTATATTACTTCCATGCAAGAATCACACAGCAAAAATGTAAAAAGTGCTTCAGTCATTAAGGAACAAAAAAAAAAAGCTGAGCCATGAAGGGGTTAATGAAAGAATCTCTTCTTCCATTCACAGAATTTGATGCATTTATTTGAGATCATAGTAAGAGAAGTTCTGTAAATGAAGGAGAAAGCAAAGGGGATTGGCTAGCGGCACAACTTCCTGCAGCCTCTCCCAGTGCCATTGAGTGTAATATTCAGTGGTTATGAGGAAGGCAAGATGAAATATGTATAATCCGAGCTTATGGATACAAATATATTAAAATATCAAATATAAAATATATAAAAAAATCTCAAGCTTATCAATCAAAATGATACATAACAAAGTGAGTCCAAAGGTAAATAAAAGTGGGTTCAGAAATATTAAATAATTGATTGAATGTGAGTCCAGAAATAAATAATTTGTGAATCCAAAAATAATTAAGAATTTCCAGTGTCAGCAACGTGTTAATGATGAAAACAAATCCCACACCGAAGTGTCCACGTCAAACTCCCCTCTGGGATGCGCACTCACCAGACCAAGATATTTATAAGCAGAAGGAGATGACAGTTGGTAATCCTACAGCCGTCTCGTCCTCATCGCATGGATCAGTATTTTATCAAGAAAATACAAAAGG